GGCTCTCTTGTCCGCTTCTTCAGTGAGCATTTTAGATTGCTCGGTGACTCTGTGGAAATCAGCCCTAGACTGACACTTTGACACCAGCATTAATCGGCAGTTTCTAGCTATCAGTAGGCAAACCTTTGATGGAAGCCCTCTCCTAACCTGTTTTGCTCAGTCTTGGAGGGTTTATATAGGCATGTATTGGGTATGCCAGAACAAACACACATTGCTCTCTGTGGAAATGAGGTTGCTCAACCTCTATAAGCTAAAAGTCTGGTTTACAAATGAGGACCCTTTCCTACATTTTTCAGGTGCTTTTAAGCAAATACTGCGTGGGCTTTGGTGCCATTACCTCTAAATCACTTTGCAAATAATGCCTAAACCCACTACATGTAGACGATGCAGTATACACACACACACTCACACTAACACAATAACTCATACATATGCACAGTGATTAAATATTGATTTTCTTTGTAGCACCATCACCATAGAGTTGTTGCATCATTCTAATTTACGAATGAAACAGCAGACAGACAGATCTTGCATCTCAATATACTGTTTAGAAAGGCTAAAGTAGATTCCTTGTGCATGGAGACGATTTGAATGGTGTTTGCACAAGAAGAAATTTTGATATGCCACTGAACAAATAAAACGACTACTCCTAATATTATCAAAATAAATGATGTCCCTGTAGCTTGCAGTCAGCATTTGCCTGGGTTGAGCCAATCCCAGGCCAGCTGTTTCATGTCAACATGCTGTTTTCTTGCTACACTTTCAGGTCTGACTCAACTGCCACTATTCAAAAGCTAAAAATAAATCTAATCTCATTTAATAACCCGTTAGCTATAAGGGAAAATAACAATTTGTGTGCATAACATTTTAAGCCAAAGTGATATTTCAAGACACTGACGGCTGAGGAGTTTTACCCATATAAATCATACTGGATTTTTAGAGAGAACTGCTGTGACTGTATTTTCCTTCATAAAAACAGCCATAACCATCACTCCACAACTCAAGAAATTGGTGACTTATAAATATAAATTAGTAAATCTTCTGATTAGAGATGTGATTCTTCAGATTAATACAGCAACAGTGTAAAAAGTGGATGTTTTTCCACTTGGAGGCAGCAGAGTAAACACAACACCAAATTTTTTATACAGTTGTAATGGCACACATGTCAATAAAATGTTTTTGCTTGACACTTTGAGCAGACTGAAAGTCCCATATTCACTGGTATTAGTTTTGTGTCTACTAAGAAATGTGCTGAGAGAAGTGCCTGGCTGTTTAGCTGTTGACTGTGGCTGCTGTTTGGTGCAAAACAGGTAGGAAAAGCTGCCTACGGCATCCAGAATTACAGAAGATAAACTGTGTACATAAAGAGAAAGGTTGATGGTTTAAAAGTAGAAGAGAACCTGGACTGCACAATCCCCTATCAGTTATCTTGCACTTTTAAAGAAGGCAATCTAGAGCTGCACCGACATAAGCAAAGTTTTCTTTTTCCAATGCTCCACCACTCTGTAAAGGTGGGGCTGTTATTTTTGGTGTACATATATCTGTAAAAATGTTACTGTATTTTTGTTCTTTTGACCTTTTTGCTTTGCTGAGACAGATATTTGTCTTCGACGCATTAACGTCACATTAATTGACTCCCCAGAGTTTTTGTGTCTAAGCTGTCGCTCTTTTATTAAAAATAGGTGGCAAGGGGAAATTTAATTTAATTGTACTTCTTTTTGTTGACATGTTCATCAAACTGTCATAGCAATGAAGGTGAAAAATCTCATTTATTCCTTGCTGGGAGCATTGATGGGAGCTCCACAGAGGTTACAGGCCAGCAGTCCCTTCCCTTTTGTATCACTTCATGTCCCTATTTCCTCTTCCTTCCTCCCTCTGCCTGTGTGACTCTCTGCTGCTCTTTGTTTGGCAGTGATTTGACCAAACAAAATCTAACTGGGTATCTCTAAAGCAAGGTGACTGCCAAAGGTGATTTTTCAAGCTGACTGCCAGGACACAATGAGTTTTAGATAGAAAGGCCAAATTTCCCTCCCTCCAACTGGCAGTCGTGGATTAAAATAGAACTAGCCTCTGCACTCAGATTTGTCACCCGTGTCATTATCTGCTCCATTATTCCCACAGCCTTAAATGTACTGCCCTGAAAATTAAGATGCAATAGACTTCATGTTGTGTTTGTGTTGCTGGACCTCACATTCTTGGGTACAGTTGTTTCATTAAAGGACGTGTGATGAAAGTGTGCTTGTTTTGGCTCCGAATAGCAGCTGGAAGTAACTTTGATTTAACCCTCTCAGGCTCAAATTAAGTTTTTGTTGCTAATGCACAAAAGAATACCTGCAGTGGTACTTCTGAGTAAAAAAAACTCATAAAATATGTATGTGGGGTAATCAGGTTGTTAGCTTTTACTTGTTACAAATCTGCAACGCCTGCCTTGAGAGGGTTAAATACCATTAAAAAATAGCAATAAGATGTAAAGCCGCATCAGTAAGCCCTGCACAGCATGTGAATGTTTGCCTAGCGTAGCCAATCACATTCCCCTCATACAAAATTATAGAATTCTGAACATGTTTACAGACATCAATCATCATATTTGTCAGTTAATGGCAGTTTGTAATTTACTAATTGAAGTTCCACTTGTTTCCTGAGCTGAGGAGTGTCCATAGGAGGCTGGAAAGGAACACAGCCTAATTCTGTCCCATAATGGGATTTAATCAGTAATGGCTTTACAAATCAAATTAGTGCAGCTTTTGATTTTAAAATCTACTGACTGGAAAGTCCCCCTCTTTCAGTCTGACATCGATATAAAATGAAGCAATCCTCAGTGGACAACTCAACTATCGATCAAGGTCAGGTTGGAGCTGTATTGTGCCTGAATTTGGACAGATGTTAATTTACAGCTGAACACTTTCAACTTAACAGCTTCAGCATAAGCCTGGCACAGGCAGAGGGGGGGGGTTAGAGGATACAGAGGGGATATGAGGCAAATGCAAATGACTTGCCAGATAAGTTAATGTGCCTTTGCCATGGCAAGGGACCCTGATTGCACTGGGAAGGTAAGGCTTCCCTGAGCCAGCCGGAGATATCATTAATCCAAGGTTGACCTGGTATGTCTTTTGCATGGTCCTGCCCATCTAAGTTTATTGTCTAAGAAGAGGCTGTTTAGACAGTTGGAAGGCAGAGGAGACGTTGTGTGCTTTCTAAAATGACCGAGCAGCACTTCCTTTTGAGCGTTTCCCGAAGACAAATTGGCTTGGATCAGCAGCCAGGCAGCTGGCTGATGGAGAGGTGAGATGTATAAGGCCCACGTGGGCATTTTCATAATGACGGCTTTTCTTTCCCTTTTTTCTCTTTTTTTGGCTTCCTGCTGCAGTGTGTCATTGTGTCCTAGTCTCTCTCATGCTGTATCACTCACCCACACAGATACACACTAACCTTACAGTACAATGCAATACGCTTGCACTAATCCTTACTTTAGACATGTCCTGGGCAGTTTTGTTTGGATTACTCTCCTCTGGCACCAGTGAGAGATCAGCACACATGAGTCTGAAGTCTTTAAGTAATAAAAGCGCTTTTATACTTTAGTCATACAGAACATACAAATGTGGGCTTCATATATATGTGGAAGCTGATTAAGATGTCCTGCATAAACAAAAGGCTGAATACTTGTATGGCTTGGCACTGTCCAGAAAGCTTAGCAAACAATCGTAGTGATTGTGTGAATTTACAATGATATGGTTGCCACCAGGTTGACTTGTGGTTATACAGAGATTTGCGGGTTTTATAATCCTCCTTAGATCAAATAATAACAAGCAGTGATTCATACAAAAGTGTTCTGTTCTAAATTGACCACTAAAGACTCAGTCCATATGAGTTATCATTTTGTCAGCTAGCAACCACTCTTTCCTTCTGATAGCCCTTTAATTGGGGTTTAATTTTTTCCAATAATGATTTTCTAAGAGCAGGGAGACACGTCCAAATAGATCTTACTCAGCCCAGAGTATCATGAATATTAACAGTGAGTGGATAGGAATGTGACCTCAGAAGTCCTTGCAGTGACTGAGTCAGTGTTTACTGTGGTTCAAATTTTGACTTTATCAGTAAAGAAGTGAAGTACCACAGAAATGCAGGAGTATATATAACCTCAGTCACTGTATGCTACCTGCCCAGCACCAGACAGCTAACAAACACAGTTAGCAGCTAGTTGGAGAAATAGTGGTATATGTGACACCAAACTTTAATTTAAGGTTTCCAAAAACACCTTAAATGTGGAAAAATGTTTCAGTTTACACAACAAACCAAACATTCAAGTGAATGCAATCTTTCCTAGGCGGGCCATGACTAGTTTGCCATCTTAACGTGGTAGTACTTTTCTGCGAATTATATATGGTCATGTTGTCTTGTTGCCCCAAATCAATTAATGATTCACATAATGTGCGTGTGTGTCTTTGTATGTATGTTTGTAAGTGGCCTTGGTTGTTAGCTGTGCAATGGCATGCCTCCCTTTAGAGCGTTCAGACTGCAGATCATCTTTCGATCTGTTTTTTTTTCATGCATAAAAATATACATCTATAACATATCAACTTGTTTGCTCTCATTTAATATTTAAATAAAAGCCTTGGGGCAGTATCTACAAAGACAGCATTATGGAAAAACATGTCAGTTCTTTTTTGTAGAGCTACTGATTGTGAGTTTGGTGACATAATATAAAGTTCCGATCTGCAGATTAGAAAACTCACTTACCCATTCGAGTGGACTGTACTGTAATAGAATAATTTCTAATTCTCAAACTCAGTCAGTGTCACCAGTACTCTTTGCAGCTTGTTATCCTCTACATTTTAAGAGGACGGCCTCGAAACTTTGTCAAGTGCAGCAAGTTTGTGCAGTTCAAAAAACAAAACAGAAGTGAAGTGCTTGGCCGTGTGCTGTGAACAACAGGGGAATCCATTTCCTATACAAATGATTGTAATTCTCTGCTCTCCTGCACATTTCTGCCTTTTTTACAGGTTTGGCAGTTCACCAGATAATCACAATCACTGTGTCTCTCATTATGGTTATCGCGGCCTTGATCACAACACTCGTCCTTAAAAACTGGTAGGAAAGATTCCTTTACTTTTTGCTTCACGACACGTCAGACGCGCACCCCCGTTCCTTTTCAGAAACCCTAATAGATGAACGAAGGTACAAGGTATGATTTTATGTTTGTTTCTTGTCTTTGGTGCGTGTTTTTGTAGCTGTGCGCAGTCTGGAAATGGTCGCCACAATAGCCATCAGCGAAAGATCCACCAGCAAGAAGAAAGCTGCCAAAACCTGACAGACTTCACCCCAGCTCGGGTGCCCAGCAAGGTGGACATATTCACTGCCTACAACGACAGCCTGCAGTGCTCGCACGAGTGCGTTCGGACTGCCGTACCCATCTACACTGATGAGATGATCCAGCAGACGCCTGTCTACAAGACTGCTTATAACGGAAACAGGTACTGACTGTATGACAGGTGGATGCACGCTTCCCAGTCATTCAGCACTTGGAAATCCACAGTGTGAATGTTATTAGCATGTGGCTTATATTTTATGAAGCTCCGTGCTGAGCAGCAAGGCTTGATCGGTTTAAAATAGGTTAAAAAACGTTCCAGTAACTCGTACTCAGGATTAAGAAGCATTAAGCAGAAACAGATGAGAATAAGAGCATTGAAATGTCGACCACGAATCCTCACATTCGTCTCCAAGCTCGTGTTTTTACCCCGCAGCCACAGTCAGCTTCAGTCGGTATTTTGCTCGAGCAAATCTACACATAAATTGGCGGACTGCTTCCCATCACCTCATCCATCTGCCACATGCCTCAGCATGTTCAGGCTGCACACACACAAAAAATAACATGTTCTACTGATTTCTATTGGTGTAATGAGTCAGCTGATAGATGTCTTTACTGTGTCGTTTTGTGTCTGTCTCTTCATGGGAGTATTAAACGTTGGCACAAAGGTGTATGCTTTGAACTTCAAAACCTGCAAGTTATGTAATATCAGTAAATACACTTTACATGCCCAAGTTTACTGAACATGTAAAGTGTTATATATACAGAGAAACATTAGGCGAGAGATGTGTCTTTGGTGAGTCGTTGGTGCGTTTGCATTCCGCTTTGCGATTTAACCGGACAGGTAGGTTTCACATCGAAATCGCACACACTTTGCATTGCCACGCCGACAATAAGTTGGTGGAGTATTGACAGTGTTTGCTGTCTGAGTGGATAACATAGTCATCTAAGCCGCAGGGCCAGCAAAGATGGTCACACTTACTCAGTGAATCCAAACCCTGTAACAGATTCATTATGTTGGCAAGGATGGCGGGATAATTCATCTGCTGTAAATAGTCTGCTTTTAAATTACACAGGGATGGTTAGGTTTTTATAGCTTGTTTTTCACAGGTTAACCAACAGCACTGCTGAAAAATCTAGGATTTTTTTTTTTTGTAGAGCAGCCGTCCGAGGCTGACATAGACCTTCACCCAGTGCAGGTCTCTGTCACCCCGCTTGTGTACGTGACAGTGGTACCGTGTTGATTTTGGCACTTAAGGCTACCAAGAGACATAATTAGGCCTTGTAGCGTGTGCAGCATAAAAAAGAAGAAGTCTTATGAGAAAAAGACACTGCTCACCAATGATAATTTTAGAATCAAGTATAGGAGGTTTACTATCAACTAATATGTTGTGATGGTATCTAATATAAAAATGTAACCAGTCTGATTACATCATTTATATTCACAAGTTAACTTCTTGCAGTGTGACTCTGACTTCTTGCGTTTTGCCTAACAGGCCCTCACCAACTGAAAGACAACTGATTCCTGTGGCCTTTGTGTCAGAGAAGTGGTTTGAGATCTCATGTTGACGAGCTGAAGGCCTTGTTCATGTTCTGTGGGTGGAAGAGACTTCCTGAATTCACGCTTTGGTGGGTACCGCAGCACTTTATCCCCTTGTAAATAATCATCTGAGCCTTCGATCCCCATGGTGATGCTGCCCCACTTTGGGAATAAAAGGGAACTTGGCATATGTTTGTTATTTGTGACATGATTATGCTCCTTTTCCATCTTGTTCCCTTTTGATATAAAAAAAAAACAGGAGGAATCCGGTTCAATGCAGTAGCCGGGGTCTTTAGCTGAGATAAGAGACTAATTATGTGAATATCAGTACTATGGTCACTGTTAATTATTTCTCCTCTCACATCTGAAACATTTTCATTGATATTTTTGGTGCCGCTTTCATTCTTACACCAAAGGTGCATTGTTTGGCGCATTTCAAGGAGTAAGGGGCACTTTTGCTTGACTTGTGACACATTTTTATGCGTGGCTAAAATATGCCAGAATGGGCCAGCATTTGAAATTCAAAGCGTGAACGTTAAACACATGGTCTAGCCCCACAGTGTTGCTGGAAGGTCAAGAAGTGGTATAATGTTTGCTATTGACCCAGATTTTTAAGAGGAACAGATTGCCAGCAGGTAACACAGAGAGGCAGAGACAGGGACCCTGGGTTATCTGGACACACATTAGTCTCACTCAGCTTAGCTTTCCACAGCTTGCTCCCTGTGCTGGAGTCATAAAAGACATAATATCCCTTTTTATCTTTGCAAATCTTGTGTATTTTTTAGGCTTAAGTTTATGCAACAATAGACCTTAACTGTACCGATTTTTAATACAACACTGCCCTTTCATATCATGTAAAAAAGGCACTGGAGTCACATGTTTTTTGAGACAAACCCATATTCTCCCTAAAATAAGTCAGAAGCAGGCTAGCTTTGTGTGTGTGTTTAATTTTGCACTGGCAACATAATGAGAAGTAACTGGGGTTGTGTTCTCTGCATCTCCACAGGATCCAGTTGGAAACAAGAAACACAAAAAAACAGCTTCTTTTGTAAAATAGCGTGATCTTTGGACACTGGTGAAGATATTTATTTTTCTAGAGTTGACAAGCAGCAGCCATAGCGCTGCGAAAACCATATTTCCAAGAACCTACGGTCATTTAGATATAGATTATATATAAATATATTTACAGGATGTATGGAACTAGACTGTGGACGTCGCGGATGTCTCAAGGAAAACATTAGCCCTATCACAGAGGAACTCAAGGAGCTTCTTCGGGAGGAAGATGAACTGTATTTCTGAACAATGTGCCAATAATGCCACTATGTGCCACAACCTGGATGGACAGAAGTTTCAAAAACGACTGATGGACTAAAAAACAAGCCGACAAAAAAAGAGCGTTATATTAACCCTGTATCAACTGCAGTTACATTTTTTTCTTTTGGTTTTTAAAGAAATATGAAAGTACAAAAAAATGCTAAATGTATTTGAATATGTTATGAAATAGTTTTAAGAAATGTGTTACAAAAGAGTCTAAAAGATATTTATATGAAGCACTATTCTATTAGCTGGGGAAGAGAGATGATGGAAAACGGTATATGCTTTATTGGACGGTTAATTTAAGAAAAAAAAGAAGAAAAAAAGTTGTTTTTACCGGTCCCATTTTAAAATCAGAATAGTCGTGTCTATTTTTTTACACACAAGAGTCTGCCACAGCCCTAACGGGGGAAGTCAGAAGCGCTTGGAACCACTTTTTAAATACTCCCACCTAAGCTGAGGTAACATCAAAGACAACCATCTGAACACATCTGGTTCAAGCCAGTACAGCGCCCACCTCGACTGCTTATTATGTAAGATTTGCATCTGATTTAGGAAAATGGAAAAATACACAAAAGGCTTCTGTGGCGCAGGCGTGTGTCCTCGTTAGATCCCACAGCGGCACATTCACGAGTGAGTACAGCCACAGACTGCATGGAGCTTGACAGGACATTCATACTGCCTCAGGTCTGTCTAGCTTTCTCGCACACCTCGTATCAGTCTCTTGTCTCAGCAGCTGTCTGGGATAATCTAACGGTTTCGATTTTGATCCAAGCTCCAAATTAAAGGGTAGAAGAGATTTAATCTGAACCTCCTGTGTTCAAATAAATTGTGGTCATTTGCATAAACAGCAAAGTTGAAAAACGGATAGTAATTGAACATCCCCACCCAACTCCCAACTCTCGACCGGTTTGACAAATTAGTTGTTGAGCCTGAAACTCTTAAATTATAGGCGGAAGTCTATGTAATTCCATCGTCAACCGATTTGTTCAAGGTGGAATTAAACAGAAGAAATGGGAAGCTAAAAATGTGGTATCCCTCAGGATCAAAATGCATGGTTTGTTTAACTGTGGAATGTAAGCAGGAAGGAATCCCCCATCAAACACAGTAGGTTTTTTAAGGGTTCGCTCTCTCCAGACCCAAATAAACTCTTGAGGACAATGTTTAAATCATTCAGTAGTTAAGCTATCACAGCCAGGATGTTTGGGGTTACTCTCGGATAATTTGTTTTAATTTAGAAATAGAAAATAGAAATAGAAATAGAAAGCTGAGCAAAAAGGGGAAAAAAAGGACAGAATTAAGAGGAAAAAATTCTATTTTGTACTTTCAAAGGCCTAAAAACACTCCCTCTGTGTTTTGTTGTAGTAAGGGGATTAAGACAAACCAATCTGCTGCTGCCAAATTGGTTTAAACTTCTGGTGAGGAAGGACAGTAAAGCTCTCCTGAGAGCTTCCTAGCACCAATACTTTTTATTATCATCTTCAAGCTCCTGAAACAGATTAGCTTTGTGCTACGAAGCTTTCGAGAAAGTTGTCTGTTAATCTACCTTTTTATTTTGCTGTGGGTTTGTACAAAGCACAACTACAATTCTGCAATTGTAAATGTTTATGGCTATAGACAGCAATATGTACAGATATAAATGATGGGTTTTACTGGGTATAGACGGTCGATCTCCAGTACTTCACTTGGTAGGTTTTCGGACTTGTACTCACTTCCTTAAAGGATTCAAGACAACAGGTTGTCCCAGTGATCAGTATCGGTACGTGGGAGCCATTCAGGAGGTGTCGAGATGGCTTGGGATAAACACTGTGGTGCAAAACTCCTGCTCTGGCCAATTCACAACATGAAACTCATCTCATGAATGACACATACCAGTGCAGCCTCACGACAGGCTGCGTTGCTTCTTTGACATAACATATATTTTTTTGAATGAACAGTGATATCTTACTAGTAAGAGGGTTATGAAACTTGCTGTAAATTATACACGTGTAAATGTATTTTCTATATATTTGCTTCTATTTGTGTACAGGTGTGTTCTATTTTTCAAGACCTCTCCCATTTTTTGGGAAGGTTTCAGCTAGGTCGGGGATAGTGTCTTTGTTTACATGTGTAACTATGGTATTTCTTTCAAAACACAAAAACGAACCTTGTGCCAAGCTTCTTACCTGCACTTTCAAGCAGTTACTTGTATTATATCTTTAGCTAACCAGTATAATACTTCAGTAGACGCTGCAATAGCTCAGAGACTGAAGAGTGATTTCCAGGTGGAAAGTAAAAACAGTACCGAGTGGTTTTAAACGGTGTTGTGATCATATCTTGGGTTCAGCTGTATCCATGGTTGGCTGGGAAACCAATGACTTGCTCTTCTTAACTATCATTTCTGCATCGATTTTAATAGACAGTGTATCATCACATGAATTTAAAAAAAACAAACAAACCTGTTAATCCAACAGTAGCTGCCAAGAAACTAACTAAACTTGATCTAGACTGGATTGCAATCATTTGTCACCATCCTCATTTTGTATTTGTATATACATACTGCTACAACTGCCCCAGAAATTGTTATTTACTGCAATGACTCTGAAAATAAACCAATATCAGCATTTATTCAGCATAAGAAAAAATCAGGGAAAGACATCTAAAGGAAAACTTTTGAAAGGAGGATCGTTCGTGAAGTGCACTGTCTGTATTTTCCTTTTTGATGTGACTGCTAAATAGTCAGGGTTAAAAATACAAAAAGCCAACTTTAGCGTTGATAGGCAACGTTTTCATTTTCAAACTTTTTCAGTAATCCTGTTTTTATTCCAGCTTTGGCCTTCAGCTATAATCCCGGCATGGCTATGGCAGTGTTGGTTTCAGTTAGTATGCTAGGTGTACCTAGCATGCTAACACACTGAACTAGGCCAGTGAATATGACAAACCTTACACCTGCTCAACATTAGCATAGTCTGTTTACGTGCTGATGTTTTAGCTGAAATCACAGCTGCTGTGCTTCAGTGCGGCCTCACAGGGCTGCTAGTTTGGTTGCAGATTCTTCTGCTTCTTTAGCTTTGGCCAAAATTTCTACTGTTTATAATGACAATGTACTAAACAAGTAATTTGCCAAAAACTGGGAGCGCAGTCATTTTGCCTAATCAAGCCAGGTTATCGAATCAATTCAAACTCCAACTGTACAAAGAAAACCTCAATAATCAGACGGCCCCATTGAGCAAGCGCTTGGCAACAGTGGGAAGGGAAAACTCCCTGATAACAGGAAGAAACCTCCAACAGAACCTCAGGGAGAGGCGTCCATCTGCCTCTCCCTGAGCCCAATGAGGCTGAGGGGAGGGAGCCAACAACAACAGGACAATGAACCTTCAAAGTGGAAAGTTTGTGAGATCATTTTATAATTTGCCCATTTCTTTCTCTTTTAAATGGCTGCCTGATGTAAACAATCTCCCAGTTACTCTGTTGAATACAGTATATTAATATTATTGAATGCAGTCATGGCCAAATCTATGTAAAAATCCCCCCCCTAATTTCTAGCTGTGCTAAAGTTGACTGTCGTTTTAAGATTACATGCTACATATAAGAGACCTACACAGAAATTTGAACAACTTCCATTTTAGTCTCACAACTTTAAAACATTTGGCTGATTGACATTTGATGTAAACAGTTTCATCTGTTAACAACACCATATCTGATGATTGTGGAATATCAATGCAACTAGCTAGAATTTGCTGAAAGTGTCAGCTGAGATTATACCGATATTGTGGGAAAGATTCTGGATTCCTTGGAATATACTAAATGCTCTAATTGAACAACAGGAAACTTTAACTTTCTGAAGTTATTTGTGTTTTAATACTTTGGGGAAAAACATTTTTGAGCTTTTTTTTCTTTTCAGGCATTAGGCATGTTTCGGGCAGATCTATAAAGACTTGAAAAGCTTGATTTTAATGTTAGTATTTCTCTTTGAAATCATGAGGAGCTGCTAAAATGAATTCTCTTTGCATTCCTGAAGGACATTTAGACAAAGAAAAATGTAACCAGCAGCTGTGATCTATATTTTAAACAGTCACGGATGTCTGGAGACATCAGCATACAGCACGCTTCCCCCTTTTACCGCTGTCTGAAATCAAACTGATACGTAAGGAACCGTCTTACTGCTTTCTTGCGTTTTCAGTTTACATTTCAGTATAGCAGATGAGTTTAGTTTATTATAACTAAGAGGCAGGAAAGTAATTCCACTCGGCCCAGTCAGATTTGATTGAAGAAATATTGTGTTGTTGTGTTAGGTGTGGGGGTGGGGGTTACTCGACATGCCTTTTTTTTCACAGCAAATTAATATTTTGCGGTTCTCGTTTCTGTTTCTTCAGCAGCCCATAAAACCTGTGCTCTCCTCGACATAAACAAGCTATCAATCAGCGAGGCTTTTCCTGTCAAGATGAACGATGTACCACATTTACAGAGACTGTGATTCCTCTTTGCATGTCAGAAACTCAGAGTGGAAGTTATCGACATGTGTTTTGTTTGAATGACATGCTAGCTGAAGGACAAAGTTGTTTTCTTTCCACATATTAATGGAAGCATTCATACCAGAGGAACGGTCAGAGGAATCCGTGTATTGGCTATATTGTGGACTTATTAGCACACTGTGTGATAACAAAAATATCTTGTGGACGCTTTATCAATGAAAACAAAAAGAGACGTTTAATTAGAAGGTGAGAGGACAAACTGAGAGGAAAGGATAAAGTTTATCTTTGCAGAATGATATATATCCATCCTCGGCCGGTGTTTTGGCCTTTTGTGAAATAGTGACAAAATATAGTCCACTCGTGCACGGACACATCTTTTCTCAGTCAGCAGGATTTTCAGGCTAATGCTAGTGGACGTGTTTCTTTTGAAACTGTCCTCTGACAGGCAACTTAGAAAATTGGATATTTCCTAAACATATTAACAAAAAGTGTTTTGATCCAAATCGTGAGTTTTTTTTCTGAACCAAAGAAACCAAAATCAGCAAGTCGACAGAAAAGAAAAAATATATAAAGAAGGTGTAGACAAGTCTTTGGTGAAGGTCTGTTGATGCCTAATGTGTTGCTTTTTCAAAATGAAGCACAAAAACCAACTGTGACACAGCTCTTTTCT